CATCTACAAGTTCTATTGCGAGAACAAATTCGCGCAGCTTCCTGAGCCCTTCGACTTGAAAAAACAACCCAAGGTGCCCTACACCATGCAACTTGTGATTCAGTCCACGCAACCCCCTCCCGAAGGTGATCCTAATGGTTCATACGTGCACATCTTCAAGCACATCTACTTGCACCGTAACAAGTTGGCGGCCTCCGAGTGCGTGAACATGTGTCGTGGGAATCCTCTTCGTTTCGATTGGGGCTCCCATACCAGGCTCGCCTTATCGGGACTTAATTACATGTTAGACCAAATGGGAGGTAAACAGCTTCGCTTTTGGCTCCTGAAGCCCAAGTTTGAAAAGAAGATCACCATCGATCAGCAAGCACGTGACGATGGATACAGATTCATCCGTGACTTCGGCCCCAAAAGCAACAACAAGAACCAATTCATGGAATGGACCGACGAGTACATTAACACACCGGGTAGCAAAATCGAAGGGTGGACGGAGGGAAAGGTCAAGGAGGCACTCCACAATTACATGCGAGGACGCCAGAACGCAAAAACGCTCGAATATTGGCCGTTCACATTGAAATCCTTCGCCCCATGGTTCTTCGACCGCATCCTCACTCGCATGCTACCAACCATGCGCCAGCACTCCATCACCTGGATTGGGCGTACACGGACCGGCAAATCGTTGGGATCCAAAACAGTCTTGTTTGCACAGTCTAAGTTTGAAATCGATTTGGCGGAGCGAGCAGACTTGGTTCCATCCATTCTCACGGCGAAGCATCTCGATTTCTTTAAGGCGGAGCCTCTCACCAAGTTCAAACCAGGGGTGTTTGATGACGGCATGTTGCAAAAGATGGACGCTTCGTTTTTGAAAGCCTTCCTCAACCCGTCCGTGCCTCAACATACTTAGTCAGCATTTTGTGTTTAACAAGTTTCGTCCGAAATGTGATAAGTATTCTTTCCAAAGACATGAGATCAGATTAGCAAACACATGTAGTTAGGAAGAAGATGCCACCGTTTGGGCGCGGTACTCATCAGCTCATTTCGAACAAGGTGCCGGACGCCACGCATGCAACAATCCCTATGACCGCAAAGTTGACGAAGACATGTTCGCGAAAATGAAGACCACGAAGCTTTGGGAAACTTCTTACAGCGACTTTGTCAAGTTGATCATGCCTTCATTCACAGCAGTGGACGACGAAGAAGACTTGGACGCGATTCTGGCCCGCACGCACCTCATTGTCCTTACAGACAATGGTATTTATCATCGTGTAGCATCTACGGGGAAAGGGTCAGTAGACTTCATTGCGTGGGACACTGAGCCGAAGGACTTGCTTGCTCCCTCCCAGCATGCAATCTTCAAATCGTACAAAATGAATCCACAAGGACATCAGCTTCCCCCCTCCTTCCATGAGGATTCCGCATGGTCGCAGGAAGCTCTCCGACGTCTAGTAAATGGCGAACAACTTCCACGAGGCTATATCGTATACAGACCCAGGAGCATGGTCGGCGATGCTAGGCACCTATGCCGTAATTACAGTATAACGAGAATACGAACCTTGCTTATTGGGGATTATTTCGCAATATACTCGTATGCAGTTCTGCTTATTGGGGGGTTATTCAGAATACATTCCTATGTATCGTCGTGTATGTAGCCCTGCTTATTGGGGGTTTATTGACTGTATAAATACTCATGTATATCGTATCTAGTTCTGCTTATTGGGGGATTGTTCAAGATAAACAACTTCCACGAGGCTATATCGTA